GCGCGCAGCCGCGCTTTACAAATGAGTAACTGATCACATCTTTAAATCTATTTTTAGAAAATCCCGTTAGATATCTAGAAAAATCTGGTTTGCCATGAAGAAGCTTGGACATTTTAGAGGCGATTTGTTTACTTTTCGTAAAATTTTGCCGTTATCAATTTTATTTATTTTTGGCCTATGGGAGCAACCACTGTGGAATGTGTGTTTTGAATTAAGACCCTTTTTTTTCCTTCCATCTAAGTAGCTAGAGATCCACGTTAAAAGGTCTGTAGAGAATCCAAACATATTCAGTTTACTCAACAAGACTGAGTTAATCATCACTGAATCAAATTCTTTACTAAAGTCTGTGTAAATTAAATCGGTTTAATATCACATTCGAAAGCCATCTATGAAAAACGATGTCAACTCCAATAAGTTCGTGGTGGTGGAGCGACGCTTAATGAAGCCATGGTGACAAGGAGAGATGATTGAAGATCGAATGTGTTTCAGATCGGGAGTAACTAATTTTTCAAATAACTTTGGAATTGCCGACTATTTAGAGATGCCTCTGTAATTGGTGGAATCGGATTTTTTCCCTTTTTTATGTAAGGAAATATAAAAGATTCCTTCCACTTAAGGATGTAGTCTCATGTGTGAGGTTGAAAAAATCGATTTTTTTTTTCACATATTTCGATAGTATTGTTTATTAAGAATGTACTGTTTCAAATAAAAATGTAAAATAATGACAGAGATACAGCCCATAATCGAGAGCGCGCCTACACCGAAAAGTATGAGTTTCTCGGTAGCGTCTAAACTTTAAACGCGTTTTTCTCGGAACGACATTTTTGTGTGCGGCGCAGGTGATTCACAAAATTCTATGGTACCGATCTAGCTGAAATTTGGATATGTTGTTCTAAAAAGTAACACCTCTGTCCCGTACTAGAATCATTAATTTTTAATGATTAGTTTTATCATTAATTTAAGATTAAAATTTAAAATTTTTTTTAATATTTTGTTTTGTGAGTTTGCCATTTTGTTGTTGATTGATGAAAATATTTCAGTGCGGGACAGAGCCATAAGCTTACAAAACAATAATCTATTCTAATTTTTTGTTTCGGATGACTCTAGCAGTCGAAATCACCTGCGCCAGGGACCTACCTTTTTTTTTATATTAATACTTTGGCATGCTATAAAGTGTATTAAACTACACAAGAATAAATTAAACAAAATATTTTCAAATAGTTTATGATGCCTATAAAAACATATGTGAAAATTAAAACGATCGCCTTATTTTTTATTACAAACAAATTTTTTTGAAATAACCTCTGAAAAGTAGGCCGGAACATGAGACTACATCCTTAAGGGGAAAAATCGACGTTTTTCAAAAGATAAGTTGAAAAGTCTGAGAAGGGGTTTGCACAGACCCCTGGCACATTATTTTAGCACACAGCCTGGAACTCCATCAAGAGACAAAAAATAAGATTAGTTAATTGAATGTTGTATGCGTAAGGCTAATCTGTCAACTTAGGCGGATAATAAGTTGTTTGAAAAAATTGTGCGAATAGATCAAAAAACGTGGTGGTGGGAAAGATACATGTTTACAGTTTGTGCTTACAAAATTATAAAACTGCTTTGGATCGAGAGTAAATTGTATCTGGCAGCGACGAATATAATTCCTGTAACATTCAGCGTTATGCACGGTAAAATTTGACCGAGCTAATAGATATCTTGATAGATCAATACTACTGCAGGTTTTTTTATATTTTAGTAAGAGCATATTTTTAGTATTTTTTAGGTTAAAGAGACACCTTGTAAACCAAAGAGGATTTGTTGAAGCGGACGGATATTTCCATGGCACACAGGAGTCAAAAAATGTCTTTAAAGTACAGTAAAAGTACAGTTTTCTAAGGTGACATTAAGATCGGTGAATGCCAGAATATCGAACCAATCATATGTATCGATAAGGCTATTAAGTTTGTGAAAATCAGCTTTACGGAAATAGAGAATCTTATTTGTCACGCGTGGAGGCATCTGATCGATGCCAGGAATGGTTTCGATTGAGACCTCCAGCGTGGGATGATATGGATCCTCTGGACTTGAAAGGGGAAAAGCTCTGGAGAGAGCGGTACCATCGGGATCAAATACAAAGCATAAGTCTAAAAGCCGACCTAACGAATTTCTAACATGGTTAATTTGACCTAGGGACATGTCAAACATGCCCGCGGTGAAGTCATGGTGAGTTATAAGTGACAAAGATGGTGAGTTCTCGACGTTGGACCACTTTAATTCAGGGATATTAAAGTCGCCCACAGCGACGAGCTGGTCACGATCATTCATAAGATTAAAAACGGATTGAATAGCGGACAAATGCTGCCAATATGTGGGCGGTTCAGACATAGGCGGTATATATAAACATGTAATGTATAAAGATTTCACGGACAAAATGATTTTAGTGCAAATAAACTCTGTCACCAAACTGTTGTGATTTCACCTCTTCAGAAGCAAGAATGGAGTCTACCGAAATGAGGACTCCACTCCACGTTCGCTGAGGTCGATTTCTTATAAAAGTGGTGTACTTACTTACAAGGAAAAACTTCGGAGCTAAAGATCTCGGACGAATTTTTCTCAGTTCCAGACCTTGGGGTGGCCAGAGATATGAGCGGCTGCTTTAATGTCGGCTGAGCAGGCTGAGGCGGATCAGAAATCGCGGATTTCTTACGCTTAGGGGACTCAGTTAGCAGCTGAAGGCCGCTAAGCTGAATGTCAAGCGCACAGAGCTGGTCATTGATTTTACGAAAACCAGTGATCAGCTCTTTAAATCCATTCTTAGTCTGTCTTATGAACGACCTCATTTCGTCTTGGACAGCACAACAATTATCACAACAATAATGTAAACCAGGGAAATGGCATCCGAAAATGAGGCAGTGAACCCGTAGAACAACAGCTTGAGTGATATAACCATTAAAAGAAATTTAAGCATTTTACGCTTACTTTAAGCTTTTTTCATACCCTTACTATAACTTTTCCATGCCATAACTTTGGTGTTTTTAGACTTAGAGTCAAAGATTTTCTATGAATTCGATTTTTGACAAAATACGACATACCAAATTTCATAAGGATCGGCCGACTTCATATTCTATGACCCAACTTTCGTGTTTTTGAAGATAAGACCTTTAAACTTTCTACTGATTGTATATGTTTCCAATTAATTGGACCTATTAAATTTCATAAGGCATTTCATTTCAGCTGCAATGTAACTGAACGACCAAAATTTTGTATTTGCCAAAAACACAAAATTTGATATTTTGGCTTGGAACTTTTCTTTTAATTTTGTAATCTTATAAATTGGTTTTCTAATAAAATTCTTATAACGATTGACCAACTATATCCGCTTTTATTATTCATATCCGATTTTATCTGCAAGGGTATATCAACATCGGCTCCTGCCACTTTCCTTTTAGATTAAATAAGACAAATGAATTAATCTCTTCTTACCATTTGGAGGGATGAAAAGTATATGTCTTTTTTCGGATATGTAGAAGTATAATGGAAAGTATAGTACAGAAGTATAATGACTAACACTGCGACAATTTTATGTAAAAATTAACATAAACATATTTAAAAAATTATCAGTCTGTTATCATCCGCTAAAACCGTTATTTATCATATACACAAATACATATTGTACATACATTCCTCTTGCAAGTACATTTTCCCGCGCTTAGAATATACGTTTATTCATATAAAATTCATATATATGTTTCACAATTAAATTTTTGGCTCTGAGCGCACAAATCGGACAGATCGTTAACGCCACGCGGAATTGTTTGTTAAGTGATTAATCGTTCGAAACTTTATATAATCAGGGATGAACTCCAGCGGTACAGCCAGTAACAGTAGCACCCACTACAGTCCGTTCGGCAATTTTAAAGTGCAAGGTGTAAGATATTCTCCAGGACTTAAACAGGATCACTGCGATCTGCTTGAATCGCTGCCCACTCCACCCTAACCAACGGAAACTTCACAATACAAGTGGACCCAGGGCTGGGTTGGAGCATTCTTCCAACCTTCTTCTTCTCTCCCTACCTTAAGCGGTGGATACTTCAACTCGATTTTCTCAACAATTGTGGGCGGCATTCCGCATAAAAGTAAGGTCGAAAAGCTGCAGTGGTTTTAGACATGCCATCGGGACTCAGCCTTAGAAGCAGTTTGCTTCATGGGAGTCTTCAAGGTATTCATAGGTCATGATGTACCGCTAAATTTGTTGGAGAAACAATTTACCATCGATTAATATTTTAGGCTCACGTGAACGAGATTCTAGGCCTAAGTCTATTGAAAGGTTGCTTAATAGCAGCTCTTCGAGGGCTTTCGAACAACATATGCGAGACTTTTAGGATTTGGGTAGGAATTTTCAAATCGCCGACTGCATCAGTATCCAAATGCTCCTTCAAAGGTTGGTCCTAGCTACCCAGGCTAAGTTGGCGTTGCTAATGCAGCAATGCAATTAACTCCCTAGAAGCCATCCACTCACTTTGGCTAAATGGAGGGGTGAGGAAAACGGTGATAAGGCATTTAACAAATTTATATGATGATTCCTGACCAAGCCTTGGTTTCTGCACACATTATGGCTGATTTCCCGGAGCAAAGAGTTAACGGCTGCCCGGTCTTTGCAAAGAGTCTGTCGTGAATTTTTGTGGGCCCGTTTATTGTAAGCCAGATATTTTCGAAATAAGGCGGCTGTAAAATGTAACTTTTTCACTTGTTTTGCCACTAATGCCGTTCACCTTGAGTTTGTAAAAGATCTATCCAGAACTGCACTTCTTGCAGGCATTGAAGCGGTGTATATGCACCCGTCGATAGCCGCAAAACATTTGGTCTGGCTCAAGAAGCTGCTTAATTTGTCATAATATTGGTTTTATATTCTTTTAAAATAAATTTTAACGTTTCTTAAAACCATTTTCAAAAAATTCGACCTAAAACCTTTAATGTTAAAAGTAATGTAACTTTTTTTTTATCTACAGGAATGTACAATGTGGTACTCTGCAATGCAAGGAAGGGGAGCGACAACCGGTAAATGATGGCATCGACCAGCTTTATTCACGAACTATCATTTCAATCAAAGGTCAGGAATACGAATGCAAGTATGTAAACAGCCAATAATATTTTTATAAATTCAATAAAATATTACTTAAAATGTTAAGGGCAACGAGCGGACAAGTGGGCACCAATAGTTACCCACAGCATGGCCTAGTGATGGATGGAACCCCATGTGGTGATAATTTGATTTGCCTAAACCAAACGTGTGTCAGTCTATTTCCGTATGTAGATCAAACAAAGTGCCCAACAAATAGTCGTGGTCAAGAATGCTCAGAACGTGGCGTAAGTTATTAATAAGCCAATAGCCTTTTTATTTAATCATGTATATTGCATTACCAAAAATGTTTTAAATATTATTTTTCAGGTTTGTACCAATACAAACCGTTGTTTTTGTGACATGGGATGGGGTGGCACAGATTGCAATTCTGTTGTGCTACTGACCACAGCTCCACCAACTGAACCTTTGCCCACTCCAGAAAACACTATAAAAATGGAAAAAAAAGAAACTCCATATGGTAAGAAATAACTATGCTGTAAGGTTTCATGACGTTTAAACGTTTAAATAAACTAACTTAAAGCTACGTGATAATTAAGAGAATTAAGTATTGAAATTTTATAGGGAATGAAACCGAGGCCAGTAGTAATTTAAGTCCATGTATTTTATTGCTATGAGATTCATATACGATTTTTCAATAAGGTTTTCAAAATAATAAAAGCAAGCTTGGCATATGTTAAGTTTCATTCCAAAATATAAATTATTGAAACACCATTATGCAAAATAATTTGGCTTGCCATGCTATATTCCCAATATTTGAAGTTCTTATGTAAATTTTATTAGAATTATAAATACGAAATATAATAATCTAATAGATTTAGTATTCTGACAGGTATTTAAGTGTGCTGCAATTTGTTTTAAGTCTATTCTTTGAACAAATGTTGAAATAGTTTGTTTAACTTATTTAAATGAAGTATTGCCGTATTTTTAAAATAGGTATATAAAATATAAAATTTAATTCTTAGAATTTAGTTTTTCGTCCCTAAGCTAACGTAAAACATACAATTCAATTTGGCAACATTTTGTTTAACAAATTTATTTAAATAGAGGGTAAAAATATTGACTCTTCAACAAGAAAGAAAGTTTCGGGCGAAGCTTATATTTATGTAACCTTGCAGATATTTTAAATTTAGCTATCAAATAACTTCTCAATAAGTCGCCAACTTCAAGCTCTGCCGAATTTTATCATAAAATTAAATATATTCACAGTATAATTATACCCGGTACTCATAAAAAAATTGTAAATTTATATAACGCTACCTGGATATTATATTTAGAAGATAAAAATATTAATTTCAGTCATCTTTGTCTCTCTTATTTTTAAAGCACGTAGATCTCAACCACGTCTCGACATCTTAACTTTCTAGTAAAAGAAATTATCAAAAAATATGTGATGCCAAATTACTACAAGAAAATTAATAAAATAAAACGATTTTTGAATCATCTGTTGCTTAAGTAAAATAAATAGTTGAAGAACAATCCAGAAAAGTACCGGATACCATAAGGTCTGAAAACGCGACTGTCATTCATTTGACTGTCAGTCTGTCATTTCCTTTCTTTTATTCTTCACAGCGTGGGCTTTTGGATGTTTCGCTGAATAACAAATTCTATATTTTCAAGGGTTTATTATAAAGGCATTTTTAGTCCCCAAAATATTGTGAATTTACATTACATCGCGAAGAAAGCTTTATTTCAAGAAAATTTCATGAAAAAAATAAAATGTTTTAAAACATTTTGTCATTTAATTTGAAAAATATTCAATAAGGACTTAAAAATAAAAGCAATTGGGTATAAGGTCCGTAACAGGGTGCGTAACCCAGATTGAACTTAAATCATCATCCCATACAAAGAATCTTATACTCAGCAGATATGCAAGGATCGGCCAAAGTATAGCTAACAACGTTCGGCCCAGCATCGGAATTTTAAAGGGCCTTACATATGTATTTATTTTTCTTTAAATTAAGGACTGCAAGAGAGCTGTGAGATTACAAAAATAAAAAGATGCTGATGCTCAGCCAATACCCGAGAATCGCCCTACCATGGGCTATAAACGCTCGACCAAGTATCGGTTTTTTTAGACGGTATATAACTTCCCTATCCTTATGCCAGATTTTAAATTTTTGTACTGCACTAGTCGCCGAGATTGATTTAAGCATGTATTTATTTTTTTCAATGAACCCTGCCAATACGAGCTATGAGGTTAAACAAGAAAGGAAAGCTAACTTTGGGCGGAGCCGAAGTTGATATACCCTTGCAGTTAAAACCGGACGTATATCGCAAACATCGAATATAGTTGGCCGATCCTTATAAGAATATCATAATAAAACCAATTAATTTCAATAAAATATCTAAAAAAAAGTCCCAAACTTCTATCTTCAAGAACACAAAATATTGGTATTGGTATTGGTTGGTATTTCTACCAAAAACCATTTCCGACCCTTCAGTTTGCAGCTATAAGATATAGTCGGCCCATCGTTATGCAATTTTAGTAGGTCAGGTTAACTAACCAAAATAAAATCTGTACTAAGTTCCAGCTTTCTATCTTTAAAAAAACGAAAGTTATACCATTTTCAATCAATCAGATATATGGCAGCCGACTTATGTACTGTGTGCCAAGGAAAAAAGGGTGTGTGCATAGTTTCAAGTCGATAGCTTTAAAACTGAGAGACTAGTTTGCGTAGAAACAGACAGACGGACATGCTCATATCAACTCAGGAGCTGATCCTGATCAAGAATATATATATTTTATAGGGTCGGAGATGTCCCCTTCACTTCGTTGCACACTTTTGACCAAAATATAATACCCTCTGCAAAATTTTTTGTTCCAATGTTCCCGCGTTGGCTTGATAGCACAGAGGCATGAAGTCAATCCAATAAAAAAGAGAACGTCGGCTTAATTCGTAGTGGGATGTTATTGAGAATATTTATAATGTTTCATATCATTCATATCATTTTATTTAATACAAGAAATCTAACTTCAGGCGAAACCGAAGTTGATATATCCTAGCAATTAAAACCGAATATAAAGTATATACCGCATACATCGGATGCAGTTGGCCGATTCTTATGAAAATGTATTGTTATTATTACCAAGGATCTGTTATTCTATATTATTATAACTAAAAGTAAAGATAAATTAATCTAAAAGAGATTCTATAATTTTAGGTTTAATTACATCTTGGGATAGTTCAAGGGATAATAAATGGGAAAATGAGTTGTAACTAATTACAAATAACGCAAAATGGATCGTATACAACCAAATTAGATCTAGAAATTGGTAACCAAAGGGATCGGAAGAATCATGTTAATCTATTAGGAACAGAAAACATAAATTTTTCCAGAAGTAATTTTAAGTCCATCTGTCAAAGAATAATCATATGAATTAGCATAACCCCAGCACAAGTACGGCGCTATAGGTAGGTTTAATAGTTTTAACCGGCAACGATACGACGGAAGGCTAGTGACGGTATCCCTGTTTTCCATTTTTTGATGCAAATAAAAGAAACTGCTTTGTACAGATTCAATCCTCTTTTTTGGTGAACAAAGTATTGCGGACTACAAACGCACGCACATTATTCCAAGATAGGACGAACCAAAGATAAATATAGAGTCTAAGTTGTGAAAGGATCATCAAATTCTTTTGACTAACGTTTGATAAAAGCTAGCACACTCCTGGCTTTATTAACAGTCAGATATATTTTCATTCAACGACAACTTACTGTCAAATAGGACTCCAAGGTCGTTAATGATGTTAACACTATCTAATACGTTAATTCCAAGTGAGTACGATACGATATGAGGCACACTGTCATTGAACGTTACACTTTCAGCAGTTAAGTAAAAGGACATTGTTTGAACACCAGAATAAGACTTCATTAAGGTCTAATTTAAAGTGTCTATAAAGGAAATGGCCAGAGAAATAAAAACAAAAATTGACATCATTAGCCTTCATAAATGTAGTAGCATAGTTTTCAACACTAGGTAAATCGTTAACAAAAAAAACAATTCGAAGAGGTCCTAAGTGACTACTTTGTGGGACAACAGATGTAACGTTTATAATCTAGGATGTAAGTTTTTAAACAAAACACGCTGCGTGCTGTTCTATAGATGTCAACCACTGCTCAATTTTCCAGAAAACCCCATAAGATACAGCTTATGAAGAAGGAGATGATAGCTTAAAAAATCAAATGCTTTGCTAAAATTGGTGTAAACCACATCAGTAGGGAGTAAATAGGCAATCGGCTGATTTCTTGCGTCATATCCGTGTATGCATGTATATGTTGGTGGGAACGTAAATCCACAATCCAATATACACTCACATATATATATAATCCTAAATAAAAAATACATATTGACCTTTCATCCGACCCTGACATAAATATGTCTCCTGCAAGAAAGTGATAAAAAGGGATCGCAGCAGGTCAATTGGTTCCTTTTTTTTCTTGACCCTTCAGGGTGGATTTTCACTTTTCTACGAACAGGTTTTCTTGTGATATCTTTTCTCCTTCTAAAATTCTGGGTTATATTTTATATTATAACATTAACTTTCTGTACATAAGTCCGAGTTAATTTAAAATTAATTAAAAAGAATTGGAGTAAAAAATCCTTTTAAATGATATGCAACACCATAATAAAATTTTGGATATTTTTTTTTAAATAATTATTTGTTCTTCATCATTAATTTTAAATTAATTACAAAATAATTATAATAAAATACATTTTTAAATGAACTGCAGCACCATGAATATAATTTTTGTAAATAAGCATTTTATTTTTTGTTAATCAATTTTATTTATTTTTTCACGATCCTGAATCTTATTTATTTTTTCACGATCCTGAATCTTAGACAGGTATCTTAAGTAGACAGTTGAATTTGTAGGGAATTAGGCAAACGGCGTATAAGCACCAGAAAAATTTTAGTAGTATGTAATTAGGCAAACGGCGTACGACGTAAATTTAGTGGCGCCATCTATGGGTCAAGTTTGTGTAAAATTGGGCAGCGCCATCTACCGTAATATTTTATACGCCCTCTATTGGCATAAAAGCAAACGATCATGCCAAAAATTATACTTGCCAGGATCATCGCCGTCTATGTTTTCTATATTTTCTGATATCTTGTCTATGTTTTCTATATTTTCTGATATCTTGCATTGGGTCCCATTAAGGGAAATATGCATGTAAAGAAAAGATCATGTAAAAATGAAACTTGCTAGGATCATCGTTTGCCTAATTACATACTACTAAAATTTTTCTGGTGCTTATACGCCGTTTGCCTAATTCCCTACAAATTCAACTGTCTACTTAAGATACCTGTCTAAGATTCAGGATCGTGAAAAAATAAATAAGATTCAGGATCGTGAAAAATAAATAAAATTGATTAACAAAAAATAAAATGCTTATTTACAAAAATTATATTCATGGTGCTGCAGTTCATTTAAAAATGTATTTTATTATAATTAT